ATATTGACAAAAAATAATATCTCAATATGTTTTGGGATTTTTCCGATAACGATAATCAGACGATATTTTGCATAGTTCAAAAATGTGTTGTAAATGTCTTTGCTCCCTTTTACAAAGTCAATAGTATATTGAGTGATATTATTAATTGAAAAAATATATTGAAGGAAAGGGTATTTATTTATTATTTAAAATTGAAGCGTTCAAGTAAGAACAACACACATCACTGCTCTGCTGTAAGGTGAACTGTGCAGTACAAGCAAGAATCAAAAATATAACATTGTAATAAATGTATCTAAATAAATGTATCTTCTGTCAAAAACAGCACAAGAAAAACTTTGTAAACAAATTACTCCCTTCAAGTACAGTAAATTTTTCCATAGTCAAAGATACAAAAAATAGCCTATAGTATTTTTAATTCAATGACTAACTTCAAATTCTGTCCAATGTTGCACAAAATTTAAACAGGTCTGAAACACTTCAGATTTGTCAAAAATATTGCACTCAGGAAAAAAATTGCATATGTAAACAAATGTTATTACTGTAAAAAAAAAAGTCTAAACTGTGTTTCTTTGGATTTACATGTGTTTCAAGCTGCACAACAAAATATTGCACTTAAAATAATGTAAACAAATGACACTACTGTTAACAAAGTCTACATTTCAAAGACTATGAGGTAAAATAGCCTTTATAATTTAAAGTAGCCTTTACAATATAAAAGTGACAGAGGAAACAGGCTTTCAGCAGATTTCTTTTTTCCCTTTCTGAGTTTCTGTGAATTCACGTGTTTGAAGTTGTGCGATAAAAACACCAGCCAGTCCACAGCATCTGGCTTGAGAGCAGCACAGTGACATGTAACAATATTTCCTCCTGTGCTGAAAGCCCTCTCAGAAGGGCTGCTTGAGGCAGGGATGCACAGGTACTTCTTTGCTAGTTTCCCAAGTCTGGGGAAATTTATTTCTTTTTCCACCAGTTTCTGGGTTTCTTTGAATTCACATGCGTTTCAAGTTGTGCGATAAAAACACCAGCCTGTCCACAGCATCTGGCTTGAGAGCAGCACGGTGACATGTAACAATATTTCCTCCTGTGCTGAAAGCCCTCTCAGAAGGGCTGCTTGAGGCAGGGATGCACAGGTACTTTTTTGCTAGTTTCCCAAGTCTGGGGAAATTTATTTCTTGCATTTTCCACCAGTCAAGTGGATTTACGTCACTGTCCACCTCAGGTATCATTAAGTAGCTCTGGATCTCCTTTTCAATAGCACTGCGCAGAGACTCACCTCTGAATTCCTATGGTTTCTTGAAATAGCTACCAAAAGACTTTTTTCTCTTTTTTGCTGGTTCACTGGTGCCATCACCTGCTACAGGTTCTGCTGTCATAACATGAGCAGAAGCAGTTTAGGGGCCTGGGTTCTTCTGAGTTCTTCTGTCACTGCTGTCCCAATGGCTTTGATTCTGTCATTGTTATTGTAGCGGTTTTTGAACCAGGTGTGATCAAGTGTGGATGCCAAACTCAACAGCTCATCCACACAGTCTTCTGCATACTTGGAGTTCAGGTACTCCAAAATGGTTTGTTTGATTTTTTTGGTTAGGTCTGTGTCATCAGACTTCACTGCCAGGACTTCAGTGTTGAACAAGGACAACACAGGTTTTACGTAAGACAATGTTACGAGTTGCTCACCTGACAGAGCGTCTGTAAATTCTAGCAGAGGACCAAGTGCTTTGCTGACCGCCTCCAGCACCTCAGCATCTTGCCATGTTGGCACAAGGTGCCTGTGCTTTTTGTCTGCAGTTAAAACATAACGAATGGCCTTTTCTTGCTCAAGAAACCTCTCAATCATGCGCTGTCTTGAGCCCCATCTTGTTGGTGACTCTGTGATCAGTTTGTGTTGAGGAAGCTTCAGCTGCTCTTGTGCATCAGCAAGTGCTTTTTTTCTTTTTCCAGCTGCTGGAAAAAGCAGCAACCACTTTCTTGCAAACTCCAATGGCTCTGTCTATTCTAGGATCCCTCACGCTCCTCTCTGGAAAACATTTAAAATAGACATAAACATAAGATAGACATAATAACATTTTGAGTCCATTGAACATTCAATGTGTGAAATTATGGAATTTTATATTATTTATATTACTATTTTATATTATAATTATTATATTTTACTTTATAATTCATCTTATTATATATAATTATATAGTTACTATATATAAAGCATCTGCTAAATTAAATTAATCTCTCATTTTATTATATTACTGTTCTATAAAAGCTTTGCTTTTTGCTATTTTTTGTATTTATAAACATCCCAACAAGATATATTTTACTTGAATTTATTTTCACAGAAGCACCCAAATTGCTTACCAATGGCAATATGAAGTCTGTGGCCAAAACAAGGAAGCCGCTGCCAGTTGTTAATCCGTAGTGCACTGACAACGTTAGCTCCGCTGTCTGTTGTCATGCAAACCATGCGGACTTCGGGCATCGACCATGATGCCAGCGCATCTTTTAGGCCTTGAGCAATTATGTCACCTGTGTGGTCATCTGGAAAGTAAGATGTCTGCAGACAGTAGCTTTGGAGTTGCCAGGTTTCATCAATGAAATGTGCTGTCAGGGAGAGGTATGGCTCTGACGTTCTGCTTGACCACAG